AGGAGGAGGAGGAGGAGGAGGAGGAGGACGAAGTGGAGGAGGAGGCGGATGCGGACGGGGATGAGGCGAGGGGGACGGGGATGAGGCGAGGCGGAGTTATGGTGGGCCTGAGGTCATTCCGAAGCGCTCACTCTTACCGTCGGGAGAAGGAGCGATGCGGCATGGAGTCAGCTCTGGGGGGGGAGAGAGAGAGAGTGGATCGGCTGCCCCGAAACATGACCCCGAAGAGCGAGAGGCGGCCGCTCCATGCAGGTCACACGGCACGGCGATACGCGAGGAAAGAGGTGGAGCGAATGCGTCTGAGCTGCTCGAGCGCTCTCGCGTGGAAGCGAAGCGGCCGAGCCGAAGCGCCGGAGAGAGGTGGGAAAGACGCACGACGCACGACGCGCCGCGCATGCCAGCGTCATCATTGGCCAGAGCCTTTTGCGCCTGCGCGACGCATTGGTGATTTTTCCTTTTTTCTCCCGATTTTTCTCGATTTTCCTCGTAGGCACGCCGAGCTCCACGGACCTCGAGACGGCTGACAGTCAGTCGCGGCTGCTGTGATCCGCAGGGCCTCCTTCCATGCATGGCCCGATCTGGACCCGGTCCATGCGTCAGGGTCCACTCGCTTCGCGTGCGGCGGCATTTTCGTATCGATCCTGGGCAGCCGGCAGTGTGGTGCCTGTTCGGTTCGTTGGTGTTGCGAAGATGAGGCGGCCCGACTCTTGGCCGGGACGGGACCCTGACGATCCGCCCGCTCTCTTGAAGAGGGCTGCGACGGGGCCCGAACAATCCGCGCAGCTGACTAGGGCTGGTGGCTGCGCCAAGACAGGGACGGGATGAGCGTGGTGCGGCCCATCCGAGCGGCAGGGTTTCGGAAGGGACTTGTTGGGATTCCTTTCCTGCACGCAACTGCCGAGCGACGACGAGGGGTGTGGTCTCGTCTCGTTCCGTTCCGCCACGCCAACGGAGTCCGGTCAACAGGACCAAAGCAAGGCACTGCCGGTCAACAGCTGGGGGGGGG